GCCGTTAATTGCGGTGTAAATTTATTCTCAGCGGCCGGGATATACCCGTCCGTCCTGCGCGGCGTATTAGTCCCCGTTTCGGAGAACGGCTGTGGCGACAACGTCATGGCGATCCTCTGGTTTCAATGCGTTACGTGACTGACCCAGGACAAGCATGGCGGTAAGGACTTCGGGCTTGCTCACACCAAATGCAGTGCGTTCCGGAGCGGTAGCTTCACGAAACTTCCCCCTGCGTTCTGGAGCGGGAGGGGCCGTGGCGATTCAATGGCACTGATTCCACACACGCCCCCCACAGTGCGATCGGACGCCTGGCAAAACTTTGCCTGCGTTCCATTCCACTGCAAACGCAAAAAAAATAGAGCAAGCCCTGCAGTGGAACGGAACGCAGGCAAAGTTTTGCCAGGCGTCCGATCGCACTGCGGGGGGGGGAGGGGGGAATCGGTGCCATTGAATTCAATGCACCACCACGCCCCCTCCTACCCCAGAACGCAGGAAGTTTTGTGAGGCTACCGCTCTGGAACGCACCGCATTCGGTGTGAGCAAGCCCTGAGGAGGGGCCTTGTGGAAGCAGCCCATGTTTGGTTCCGCCTGGGGGGGTGTGACCACGGAGCGGAGACTTGAACCTCTGCACATGCGCCGGACAGGCGATGGCTGGGGTTCGTCCGACGCGGAAACAATGTTGCGTTGCCCCGGACGCGTCACGTCGCGCTCTTTGTTACTCTTTAACCTTTTCCAGCTATAAAAAGACGGAGCGCGGGTTTTGTTTCCCGCGATGACTTTTCCTTCCAGCTCGTGGGAAAGGTGAGAATGAGGCGCAGATCCCGGAGGAGGCAGTAAAATCCGCATTTCCTGCTGGCGGCGGCGTGTTCCTCTGTGTGAGCCGCGCACGCTATAATATATATATCTATATACAGTGCGGAGGATGTAAGCAGAGTTCACTCGTAGGGCACCGTACTGTATCCAATAGCAACCAGAATTCAACACTTTACAGCAGTCAGTGAAACGGTTGCTATGAGTTACGCCGCCTCCCGAGTGCATTATCACCAGGAGGGATTTTACATTGAAAGGCCATTCAGTGTACGCGCGTCTGGCACGCAGTTACGACGCAATCCCATTGACTTCCATAGCCTCGTTCAGCGGGTGATGCCGCCTGCCAGATATGGGCGAGTCGAAATTGCCGCACCGTGAAGCATGGCAGCGGCACCGGTTTGGACCGCCACAAGCGGCGCCATGTTAGTGTGAAGGTGGCCAGTCAGTAAACATGGCCCGTTTGACGCCTGATCCACCCATGCCATAGGGTTGCAGAGAAACTAAAGGCAGCGATCCCCACACAGGAGCACTCCGAAAGGCCTGCTCAATCTTGCTGCAGTGCATTATATAAAATCAATATTAGATGTCGCGGGTTTTCTTTCTTGCACGCGGCCGCAGGTTTACTGGATAGAATTAGGAGTTTTTATGCGCTCAAGCTTCAGGAGGAACTACAAGTGCCAGCAGGTCAGGTGATGATTGTAGCATAAAACAGTCATATCTATTTATATTATGCTCTCCATGGGCTAGTGAGCATCCGGTCATGCTGGGACATGTAGTTCTTCACATTCTGGCTCATACTGCTCAGGTCTCTCCTAGTTCCGATTCCCGGCTATCTGTCGCCTCCTGGTGGTGGGCCGGGGGGAAGCGCAGCTCGGCATTGTGTGCAGTTTGCGTGTCTCGTTTCATGTGGTTGGCTGACAAGTTTCTACAAATGTTGCCAATTTCGTGACGTTTTCTTTAAAGCAGAAATAATTCAGAGTCATAAAAGTGAGACGTTGTTTGTGCTTTGTAGCATTCCTTTTATTTCAGTCTGAGGAGTCTTAAGAATGGTCCTTACAGCTCTCTGGAGTCTTCTTTCTGCTGCTCCATGGAGTGGGATCCCCCGGCAGTGGGCGGAGCTGGGAACCCAGGTGGGCAAATCAGATCAGCAGCATTGACCAGAAACAGGGGGCCATGGACCTGACAGGGCCGTTGAGGTGTAGCCAAGGCTTCATTTTCACCTGCTGGGGTCGTGACACCCTCAGGATCAGCACATGGAGGACGTGGTCCAGATACAAGACTCAAAGCCCTCTGTGACACGCTCTGACCCCAAAACTTAGGGCCGGGTCACACCACAAAGTCTGCGTTCCAGTGCGTCCGGCCTCTGAAACGCAAGCCGGGCCCGGTTCTTACGTTCAGGGGCGGGACCGTACATTTAAGTCAATGGCACCGCAGCCAGGCCCCCCACCCACAGCGCGATCGCCCGGAACGCAGGCGCATTAGTGTCTCCGTTCCGGTCCAGTGCCATCTGCAAACATACTGCGAGCACTATTTTTGCAGCTCGTACTGGACCGGAACGCAAGCACTAATGTGCCTGCGTTTCGGGTGCGGGCGACCGCACTGCAGTTGGGGGGCGTGGCTGCGGTGCTATTGACTTCAATGCATGTTGATATATTTTAAGGTCAGCGTTGGGGGGTTTACATTCAATTTTAGGAAGGGGACCAAACCTACTTTGGGTGGGAAATTTTCAGTGTGATCCCAGCAAGCCGCACGCAAACATTGTGCGGAAATCTCTTTTTTAAAACCGGCGTGTTAACTGGACGCACGGCCATTCCTAATCGCACAAACACGCATACAATAAAACAAAACGCACCGTAATGCACAAGTGGGAATGGACTGCATAGCGTTGATGCGTTATTTCATGCGTTAGGGGAGAACAGGCCGCGGTGCAACTGGGCCCCCCCAAAAATGCGCAGACATTGCGTGCAACAAAACAGATGAAAATGTTCGTTAATGAAGATCGTCCTTTGTAACCCGAAATTGTCCGCCTCCTGCGACCGCCGTCCCGCGTCTGTGGGTAGGCCAAGCGGCAGTGTCGGATTTCAAGGAATTGCACAATCTCCGCGCTGTGAGAGGGGCTGGCCCGGCCCTCTTTGAAGCCTAATTACTGCTGAGGGAGTTTTGTGTTTTAGCAGCTGAAATCCGATCCCTATTGTCAGCGTGTTTGTGGCCGCAGGTTTGGCTGCAGGCGGGCGGTGGAGGGGAGAGAGAGACAGAGGCTGGGGAGCAGCGACTGGGTGTGGACACAAGAGCAGCAGGTGTTTGTAGACGGAGGCTGCCACTGGCTCCGCCCCTCCGCTGGGTCATCTGCTCGGGGGGGAGCTGGGAGTCAGATCAGTGCAGCGACTCGCCTGTGGCTGGATCTGTGTCATGGGCTGTGAGCCGGCCGATGTGACACAAAGGGCTTCCCATTGTCATGAAAGGTGAGCCTCGTCTCCGCTATCTGTGTTGGCCCTTTAAGGCCACTTGCATCCGGCTTATCACAGCCTTCCAAGAGACGTAATCTTGTATCCGGGTAGAGTTTTTCAGAGCAGCGGGGTCTTTATGGGTCTTGTAGTTCCACCAGCGAGGGTTGCTCTTGTAGTTCCACCAGCGAGGGTTGCTCTTGTAGTTCCACCAGCGAGGGTTGCTCTTGTAGTTCACAACCTTTTGTTTTTAGATCAGAAAATTGTTGCGGTGAATGTTTGTGTGTCGGGATGGATTGTGTGAAGGTCTGATGAGGATGATGAGGATGATGAGGATGATGATGTATAAACGTTGTTGCTTTTGATTTGCTGATTGTATACAGTGTGTGTCAGGATTGGTGGTCCTCCTCCTCGCATTGATGTGCCGGGTGTTATATTGACTCTTGTGAATGTTTTATGTTGTGTTTGCGCTTGGAGTGACTACATATGGCGGCTGAGAAGAAGTTTTATCTTCTGGGGTGTCAGCTGAGCACTTCCTGAGCCTTGTGTTTACATTGTAACAAACCTCCGACTTGTAACCTTTACTGAGGCTCTATTGATGGAGGCCGAGCTCTTCGCTGACCTCATTGTATTTCTTGTAACTTTGTATTGCGTGCTTCGTTTTGGGCTGTCGTAGCATCTGTGAGGTTGTGTGTGTGTGTGTTGTAGATAAAGCTTTGCTGTACCTGTGCGTGGAGGTGGGTGGAGTCTGGGATTAAGGTTCCGAGTCTGTGCCAGAGATATAATTAAGTATTAATAGAGGGCCGGACGCGGATCGGGAAATGAGAGAATCTGTTGTGGAGATTCCTGTTCTGTTTTTTTTTTTTTCTACCTTCGCTCGCTCGCTGTCAGAGGCGTCGTGTTTCACAACAAACGCAAGTGAGCTCTCCTGAGCAGAGGTCCTGCCCTTTGGCTCTGCCCCGGGGGACCTTGAGGGCCACGGTGGCTGCAGAGTCCTCCTTTGCTACTCCTGCAAACGCTAACAATGAACTTCTCTTATTTGGTCTCCTTTCTAGTCTGTTATGTACAAAAATACCTGTTGATCCTGCTAGAAATCCACTGCTGCCCCTTTTTGTTTAAATTAGGTTATCTGGAAGTATGTTAGGACTACAGAACACCTCCCTCATGGCCCAGGTGCCCAACCTGCAGCCACATTGGTACCTGTTGTGCTGCCCTGTGACCCCAGCAATCTTTATAGGCTTGGAGCACTGACTTGTAAAGGGGTAACGGCAATGATCTCTGCAGGCCTCATGTTATATGTCCGCAGTCTCTGACCGTGCTTTTTGTATATACTGATCATTGTATGGGGGCCCTCGGTGATGTCAGGGGCCACAGTTCAGGTCCCTCTATACCTCTTAAAGTGGAACTATACTCCCCTCCAGCAATGTTATGTCCCAGAGCTCCCTCGCTGGAGCCATCTTTCCAAAGTCTTCTTCCGGGTTCAGGATCTTCGGCCATCGTGATTGGTTGTTCTGGTGTATGCAAAAATTCACAGTCCGGTACGAATCCTTTATTATAAAAGAGACATAAAGCATGTGAACCGGCCGTTCACACTTTATATATATTTTATGTAAACCTGCATCTCAAGTTGACAACCACTGTCACAGGGAGTAGGAGGTGTTTTGTAGACTGTCCCAGGGAGTAGGAGGTGTTTTGTAGACTGTCCCAAGGAGTAGGAGGTGTTTTGTAGACTGTCCTGGGGTGACAACGTTGCTCATCTTATCTGTGTGTTGTCACCCTAGGACAACGCTCCTTTGTGTTCTTGGGTTACATTACACTTTAAATACTGTTGGCAAAGCAGCAGCTTGTGAGCTGGTCTTGGAAGCACTGGAGTCCTGGGTCCATTTTTTCCCCATGGAGTTTTGGATTATGGAAATCTCCCAAACACAGGAAATGCAAATCCGTACCGGAACTTACCAGCTTCCATCACATTGTGACCGTGGTGGAACCATAGAGAGTGAATTCTGGAGGAGAGCACGATGTGACCAGTCCCGGACGCTATGGAATATGTTGGCGCTATGTCACTAACGGAAAATAAAAAATCGCACATGGGACAGAGCGTCTCCGTTACATCTTCTTTACTATCCGCTGCCGGCCTGTCATGTGATCGCTCCTCAGCTGCCTCTGTAGGCTTTTCATTACAGCGGGAAGCGCCATGCTACAGAGTAACCAATCGGAACGTCGTTGTCTGGGCAGGAAGAGAACTTTCCACGGGATTACAAAGTATCCGTCACGGATACATCGGCGTGACGTCCTCGGGCTGCCATATAACGAGCGGCGCTTCTCATTTTCGGCATCGATAATCCGGCCGTCGGTGACCGGTGACTCCGCCGGTGGAAGTTTCTTGTTACCGGTCGCGGAGATTTTCGAGCTCGTGGAAGATTTTCCTGCCCGTTGGCTCCCATTTTCCTCCTCCGTGCGAAGGATCGGAATTCTCTGTATCGCCCAATCTTGAGGGGGAAATCTTCCCGCGAATGGATCTGTATCGGCGCGGACCGTATTTTTTTATTGGCGGTACGGGTTCCCCCGCCCCCGAGACTGAATTCTCCATGAATGCAGAAAGAACTTCTTCGCGTCCGCTCTGAATGGCAAAGAGTTAACTTTGTATCGTTTCCTTCTCTGGTCACGCGCTACAAAACCGATACAATAAACTATCAAAAGGCTATTTTTACTCTCTGCCGCGTGTGTGCGCCTGGGCCTTGGCTCGGCATAAACTCGACCGGTGCCATCTGAACGGCGGAGGTTGGCATTTTACGGGCTCTCGTAAACCTCGGCTATTCCTTCTTCTCCAGGAAGCGCAAAAACAACCCAACTGCTTCCTGATGAACTGAAGGGCAACTTTTTATTTTTGTACTGACATTTTCACCCCCCAATATTGG